GTGCCATCAATTTACAAGCCCGGTGATGAAAACCCGGAGCGTTCGCAAAGAGTTCATCGTCGTCAAAATACGTCATTAATATTGGGTTTCATTGGAACGATATCCTTATTTGATGCTGTGGGCAGGCGTCACAGTTTCAGGTAAAAATTCTTGCTTATGCCTTGGCAGTTTAATTTTATGTTGGCACCGTTTGCATTGTATTTCCTGAAATAAGTACGCATTGGAAGTTACTAAAAAGTAATGTATTGTCGCAGATGCTACTTACCATGCTATGAGCACGCCCTTGCTCAACGAATTGGCCCTTTTACGCTGTTTCCTGGTTAGCGCTCTTCGATTCTCTGTAGTCTTTCTGGCATCGTATAGCTTCTATATTTGTTTCCAAGCCTTGGAGCTATGCACTATTTGCTGTGGCTTCAATTTCATTTGGAAATCTTACTCGTTCCATTTGCCAGCGCAACGGCGGCCACAGAATGCAATTTTTATTTGAACGCCCTACCCACTACCTGAAATAAAATAGTAATATAAATAATGTAAAAGAAACACAAAATAAATTTACCGTCTTCTCGATTCAATAAATTGCCACCAGATTGTTTTATTTTAGACTTTCAACTAAATTGTATGCTATATTTACTTTTTTTCGTCGAAATTGTATGCGATTGGACAGATCGCCAACAACAACTTTTATATTATGACGTAGATGCGCAGAACGAAAAATTTTTGCACCCCTATCGGCGCAATCTTTGTGTTCTATCATTCTTGCACTAACACTATTTCTTGTGTTATTCAACCAATTACTTTAAAACACGAATAACACCGTGGAACAAATTCAAGTTAGCAAAAGTTAGGTCGATTCTGAGAGTGAGGGGTGAAAATTGAGGCTAAATTAGAAGACCCGTATCGCGGCGTTTGTTTATGTTAGTTCGAATTTTTTTTAATCGACCTTCGAACTTTGCAGTCAAATGCCGATTTTCAGCATATTGTTTATATGGTTTTTTGGCTATCGACTAATTGATATTTTTTCAATCTGTTAAAGCCAAATTATTGCTAGAGACCTGTGCAATAATTAAAATTAAAAAAAAAAAAATTGATTTAGAAAATTTTTGTAGTGCTTATGAAGCAAAATGTTGGAATTTTTTTTCATAATTTCTGAACATATTTTCCACAAAACTAAAGGTATTGGCCCAATGCAGGCTTGCTTTGCTTGCCTCGCTTTGAGAACTGTCAAAAGTTATTTGGAATATACTAAAATGTATGAAGGCTGGCCAAATGGCAGCTTTGCTTCACTTGCTTTAAGCGCCTCAAAGTTTCAAATAGGCAAATGTTTTATTTGAAAGCGTTTCGTAGGCTTTTGACAAAAAGGTATGTTCCCGTTCTAAATCAATTCAAACAAACTGCTGCACACTTTTATGTACACAATTTTTTTTACGTAATTAAAAAAATATATATAATATAAGTTATTCAAAGTTTAATAAAAATGATTGTATGTTTCCATATTTATATTTAACATATCGCTGGCTGAAAAGTTGCTAAGTTCATTTTTAAAAATTTTACAGGAACTTTGAATACAACATATTGCGTGTTTAAAGCAAAGCAAAACTCCATACGAATCAAAAGGATTCGATCTTTATTAAAAGATTTCGTATTATTTTGGCCTTATCGGATTTTCGGGGCCTCTTCTGGACTTCGAAAATTTGCCTTTCATTGAATATAAATAAGAAAAAATAAAACAAGTACATTAATCCTTAATTTCTCTTGCTAGCTAGCGATATTTATGATGTCAAACTACTGGTCAGTCGTCTCTTGAAGAATTGGATTTTTTATGTTTTTAATAAATGTACCTATAGTTATATATGTATAATTATTATCATTCCTTTGAAATGCATTCAAATTCGCATGAATTTAAAAATAAATCTGAAAAGATTGTATTTTTTTTTAGTTTTCTGGAATTTTGTGGGAAAATTATTCATAGTGTAAGGGAACAGACCTTAATTTTTTAACTACACAGCTGGTAGCTTTGACAGCGTTCCAAGCCGTCATTTGGCCAAACGAGTTTTTGAAGTAAATCAAAGCAAATTAAAGTAAGTAAGGCGTGCAAAGCAAGCCTGCATTGGGCCAGCGCCTTAAGTCTTTTTTGCTTTCTATTTGATCTATAATATGCTTTTCAGTTTCTTCAATCAATTTCATTTGAAAAGAAAACAATCATAATACAAAACTTGCGCTTTCCAGCTTAATATTAATTTACTTCTCATTTCTTATGTACCAATTTTTTCAGTGTTGGTTTTGAAGAAACATTGAAAAAGAAATTATAAAAATATGGAAAAAAATATAATTTTGAAATGTTAGTTATGAAAAGTTTTAAGTAAAAAAATTAAATTAATGATTTGGCCAGTTGCCGTTTAGCAGGTGGCTGTGGATCAACATCACTGATCTCTCTAATATCTTGGTCATCGTCATCATCATCAGAAAGGTCGATAATTTCGTCCAACAGATGTTCTGGAATTTCATCTTTGTCTTCCCCTTCTTCCTCTTTTTCCTCGTCTTCCTCTTCTTCAAAGGTGTTTTTATACCACCAACAAATTTTTAGCGAGTATTGCATCTGGAGATTTCTTTCCTCTGTACCTGAAACGAAAATAGTTTTCAATCGTTAACATGTTTAAATTGTGCACTCTGACAAAGATATTAGAAAAATCTAGGAATTCAAAATATGCGCACTCTATAGTTACCTTACTTCAAATGGAAGCGCAGTTTGGTGATAACGTTCGCCTTGCTCATCAGATTCAGTTGGCAACTGTTGAGCGAGTTGATCAAGATGCTGATGCAAGATATGAATTTTGTACGGCATATTAACCCCAATTTCATCGAAAGCTGCCAACATGTTTGCAACAGATTGCCTGTAGTTGTCTTTGCGTTCTTTACCCAAAAGTCCTTTAATGACTGCTTTCAATGCGAGCCATGCATTTAATTCTCGGTCTGTCAGAACTTGGTCAAAATCTTGACGACTCATTAGTTTCCGTATGTCGGGACCATTAACAACGCCTTCCTGAATTTTGGCGTTACTTAGTCTTGGGAAAATGTCTTTTAAGCGGTTGAATACTGCTGGTCTTTTTGCGATACATTTCAAAAAATTTTTAGCAATGCCAAGTTTAATGTGGAGCAACGGCAACAAAATTTTTTTTTAAGTTTTAATTGTTGCACAGGTCTCTAGCAATAATTTGGCTTTAACAGATTAAAAAAATATCAATTAGTCGACGAGTTATAGCCAAAAAACCATATAAACAATATGCTGAAAATCGGAATTTGACTGCAAAGTTCGAAGGTCGATTAAAAAAAAATTCGAACTAACATAAACAAACGCCGCGATACGGCTCTTCTAATTTAGCCTCTATTTTCACCACTCACTCTCAGAATCGACCTAACTTTTGCTAACTTGAATTTGTTCCACAGTGTAATTGAGTTCCCTGGTTTTATTTTTCCTTTTTCAATACAAGTTTTTTTTGTTGAGTGAAACAAATTTTACACATACATACATACATACATATTTTGTTTCTTTGAACACTGCATGACTTTGAAACAAATTAAAAGTTGGCAGTAATAAGTCGGGCAAAATTTGGCTATTTTAGTAGTCGGCTACGAGATTCCGGACAGGGTAAATACTATCTTTATTTGTTTTTATACTTAAATTTAGCATATACATATGTATGTACATATATGTATGTATGTATGTATATGTATGTATGTACCCTACAGAAAAATTTAGAGTCAGTCTGGCAAAGCGCTAGTTCCGAACTAAATATTTTAGAACTATCTCTGAACCTATTTTTATAAAATAGGTAACAAACATGGAATCTGTAAAAGAAAAGAAAAAAAGTAGAAAAAATATCCAAAAATCGAATCTTAAAAGCTTTCTTATAAAAAACTGTTCAACACTGGGCGAAAATTGCCACCGCCAATGACATCGCTGTGTAAAACTGTGGCATTGCTTGGGTATTGAGCTAGAACTAGTACTGTCGGCAAAATTATAGTTCTGAGCTAGTCATATTTTCTGCAGGGTACATGCAGTGCATTTCTATATGTATGCACACAGAGAACACTCGGTTTTTCCCACTTTCAACTCCATTTCCAGACATTTTTAACCGACTTCTAAAAAGGGAGGAGGTTGTCAGTTCGTCGGAATATCTTTTTTTTTATGTTTGTTACCGCATAACTGTTGGGTCATGCTAACCGAATACCCACTATTGCTAAAATATGCCTAAATCAGCCACTAAATGTCAATGCATTTAAGCATTTAAATACTTCATATCAGGAAGATAAAAGTTTTGATATTTAATTCAACATAATAATTTTACACACATTCGTCGAAAATCGCGTCACGTCAGTTACACTTTGCAATTTCTATGTCCGAAAGGGATTTCTGCAAATCCGCAAAAATGACTTTTGGGAAAAGTAGCATTTCGACAGCAATTTAACATGCTGGGTATTAGTTAGAATGCTTGAATGTAAAAACTTGGTTTGCGGTACTCAAGGGGTTTTGAAATCGCAGTCAGCTGTAAAAAACCAAATTTTAAAATGAGAAGTTTTCAAGGAATGAAACCAAACCGCAACCGTTTCGTTTTTGAAAACCTTTATCATTGACGGTAAAATATGTTTTGTCGACGTATGCTATTTTTTTTTGTCCGATAGAGATAGACTCAAGGTCTTCTTTCAAATGCTCATCGATGTGTATGTTGACTCAAAACTTGTCAAGTGTTGCTCCTAGCTGGAACATATGGCGGAATGAAATTAAATGAATTTACATACATACCCAGTCGGAAAAGTAGTAATGCATTACATGCGCGATAAATAATATAATGTATTTCCTATGCGTTCTCGATAATATTACTGCTAACTTTGTAATCAGCATAATCAAATTTGGAATTAAATATCCTGAGAATATATAAGATGGGGTGAACTTTAGATGGATGCTAAATAAATGAACACAAAATACTGCTCTTATTTTCAAGGTGGTAACATTTTTGTGGATACAAATGATTTTGACGAAGTAATAAACATTTATGCGACCCTAACACTTTTGGATTCCACACAAGCCTTGCTTCTTAAAATGCAATATTTTGTCATAAAGGGGAACCTAGCGTTGTCATTTGCGTGCACAGAAGTACTGATCTCAGCTTCAAGGTAATTATAATACTTATAGCGTTTTCTTTTCTCGAAATAATGTTGCATTACGTCTGCCCTGCGCCAGGGCTGTCAAGTTTTCATATTCTTTTCTCAGCATTTTCACATGCATATTGCGTGCTCTTTATCTAAAATGTGGCACTCTGATAATGTTGCCACATAAGAATGTATCATTTTTTCGAGAACAGAAAACGCCATTACTAAAGTTCCATTTATAGAAATTTTAACTTTATTGCATTACAGTTGTGTAGACATTTGTTCCGATGAGCTCGTGACTAGACTTGAATTCTGGTTCCAAACAAGAAACCGGTATGCCAAATTTTCATCGAATTTCAGACGTCTGAATATTGATCACCTGATCGGTCATTATTTTAAGTTGTGCTTGTGTAAAATTTCAATAATCGAAATTCAGGCACAACTCCCTTTGTGCTTCACCTCGTTTAATAATTGCAATATATTTTGTTATGCAACGGACTACATTGATAAGGCTGAGTTGGAATCATCGAGGTCGGCAGTTACCAAAAAATTATGCAAACTAATGGATGGACGCAATGGTTTGCATATCGAGAATTATTATGAAACCGTAATTATGACATTTTTTATGTTATCATTAAAACTTACATACATACATATAGGCACAACTGTAAAGGAGTAAGTATCATATAAGTTAATGGTGTTTTTGTGCGAAAGAGTATTTCACGTGATTTCGAAATTATATGAGAATCATTAGCACTGTTAAATAGAGCTGCAAAAGTATCGATATAGATCGTTAATTTTTAATTCTACATTGAAAAACATCTACTCATTCAAAAAATGAATAGAACCATTTACCAACAGAAAATTGTATTATATATATGTAACATGGTTTAACACTTTTTGTTTCAGCCACCGCTATATTTGCAAGTTCTAACGACTTTCCTCCTTTTGTTGTATATTCTTGTTGGTACATCCCTACTCCCTCTCTCATTTGATTTGAAGTCCATACAACAACAATAAAAACCCAGCAGACAAAAATGTAAATTAAGGCAGATGTTACAGTTTTGCACTCACTCTCAGTTTTGCATTTGACAGTTATCTTTTACTTAGTTGGAAGTCAGATGACTTTTTTCTATATTGTAATTTATTGAAGAAGTGATCACCAGTAAATAACATAGTTAATCAGGAACCATAAATGTAAATAATAGATTTACTGCGGAAAGGCGGAACCGCACAAAAACTGGCAAACAATTTTGAAATTTGCTACTTGAAAATGTTAAGACTTAGAAAAAATATAGCCTAAAGTGTTTCCAAGGACAAAAGAAGTCTGTTAAAAAATATTACGCTACGATATCTTGTGAACTTAGCAGCAAGTAGCGATGCAGCCCCTATTACAGAAGCGCTTAAGGTATTAAACTTTAATGCCAATCAATAGACAGCGAAGCGAAGAAGTGCCAAATTGAGGGCAAAGGCATCATAAAAGAAGAAAAAGGCAAATTAGATCAAAATACATGTGCGAGTGTGGCAGGATTTTGCTGCATCGCACGAAAACCGGACCGTTTCCTATTGGAATATTTTAGGCCTTTCAGAATGCAATAAAAAACATTTTTAAGTTTCAATCGAAGGTTATTTGGTCTGACAAGACTAAATTAATCGCTTTCAATCAGATGGCCGGGTATGGTATTGGATCAATGACCCAAATTAAGCCCATGCGCATCCTGTAAGGCAAACTGTGAATCACAGTGGTAGGTCAATAATAGTTTGGGGCTGTATTTAAAAAATTTTGTTTGTCCGTTAGTACGCATTAGGCGTAAGGAACAGTATCTATTCATATTTCAACAAAATTTGCAAGATGTAGTCGAAAAAATGAGAGTTTCTGCTGAAAAATCATTCAAAAACACTGCACATGTTCCCAAAGCCAGGATACAAAAGCAAAAATTTGCTAATTTGAAATGACCTCCACAATCCGCGGACATGAATCTCATCGAGAATTTGCGAAATCAACTAAACGCGCTACTTACTAAGTATCAAAGTCCGTAAAATCAAGTACATGAGCTGTGAAAGCAAACTAAGGATATACCTCCAGAATTTTTACAAAGATACAAATAAGGTATGCCAAATCACATCCAGGAACTGAAACAAGCAAAAGAGTACTGAACATTGTGTTAGTAGTTCTTTTTTTTTGTGAAAATTGGTAAAAAGTTCTTAAAAATATATGAGTGCAAAACTGAAACATCTGCCTTAATTTGCATTTTTGTCTGCTGGTTTTTTTATTGTTGTTGTACTGACTTCAAATCATTATGAGAGAGGGAATAGGGATGTACCAACAAGAATATACAGCAAAAGTATGAAAGTCGTTAGAACTTGGAAATATAGCGGTGGCTGAAACAAAAAGTGTTAAACCATGTTACAGTTTTGCTCGTCACTGTATCTGTGTTCGTATGGAAAAGCAGCTTATGTCGAAGGACTGGATTTAGTATAAGTCGGCATTCGCAGCATGCGATTGCGAATGACTCACAGGCACTGAGCCGTTGAACAACGTTTGGCAAATAAACGTGCCAGAAATAGTTCCGATACTAGCAAGTCAATATTCTTATTAAGTCTTATCGAAAAATTTCTTGTCGTTTAAAGAATAAAGGGAATGCCGCATTATACTAAAGCCATCCTTTGACATAAGCCACTTTTCCTTACGAACACAGATATATATGTATGAACAGTGACCCACACTCAAAATCACACAGTGATATTATCATAGTATTTTCAATGATTTTTCATTCTATATTTTTTCATTACTTTTTTATAAAAGTATAGCTCAATCTCTAACAAAAGCCATATAAACCTAAATTGCAAAATTTCTGCAAAAATTAGAAAAAAATCAAAAAATTTCTTAAAGATTTCGAACTTTTTAATAAGAATTTCTATTAAAAAAATTTATATGCAGATTTGTAGCCTATTAAATCAGTCACCGATGTTGTTTGGCGCAAAAATAAGTAATGAGAAAAGGGCTAAGCCATACTCGAAAAAAATATCAATGTCTGCAAAAAAAAAAAAAAATAACTCGATATATCGATTCTGACATCGATATATTTGCAGCTCTACTGTTAAAGAGGGCTTCGATGGCTGATTTACTGTCCGTACATATGCTTCTAGCAATTGTAAATGCCAAGCAGTACGCGGGAAAAGCACCGACGACAATTGGAACACCAATCCCTTTTGTTACCGCAAAAGAACAGCCGGTATCATATCTGGAACCGACTGTGAAAATAAGCTCCCAGGTCATTTATGAGTATAGAATTGGGCAAATGCCCTTGCGGTAGAGTTTTGACTTTAGTATGCATCGGAGTAGATAGGAGTTCAAATCTTTGATGTAGCTTAATATACGAAACAAAGCTGATTGCTTGCTTCATCGGTTTTTTTGTTGAAAGCAGGATTCGACGTGAGAGAATAAAGTCTCATTTCTGCACAATCTTTGGGATGAACATCTTTGTGTTGTACTTTACCTCATGGTTATGGTTCTTCTGACTGCTGCATGGTAAGGTGTTTCTAGCAATTTAAGATACTTTTGCGCCGTGTCCGTAAATTACGAGTCCAAAGTAAATTTTTCCTAATATAAAAGCCCTTATTACATTTACTTGTGTAGTTATATGAACTAAAGAATACTTGGATGATAAAAACTTTATAATATTTACATAGTCTAGCAAGTAAGCTTATTCTTACATTATGACAGTGCTGCTTAAAAGTAAGTTTATTGTCAAAAATTATTCCCAATATTTTCAATGTGTCAGTATAGTGGATGATAGGGGTGTCATACACGGAGAGAGTTGGATGTATACATTTCTGTTTTCTGCATATGTTAAAAAACCAAATCTTAGCTCCTGAAGATTTGGACCAATTGCGGTAAGTCTTAGAAAAAATATAATGGAGCTAACTTTGCCAAAGGCTATATTGAATAAAATAACCGAAAGTGGTGATCCTTGTGGAAGACCATTAAAGAGAGGAACAGTTTTTGAATAACAGTTATCGACGCGAACAGGGAACTTCCCGTTGTAAAGGAAAGACTTAACAACATTGTACATCCTCTCACCATTTTTCCAACGTAAAACTTTAGATATGCAGGGGAGGAGGGAAATGGGTTTGTAGTTAGAAACTAATGAATTGTTTATATTTAATTTGGCAATAGGAATAATAATAGCAGCTTTCACTCTTGGTGACCCTTGAGATAGAATGGAGTAATGGAGTTTAATGACTCTATGTTTGACGGGATATGGAAGATTTTTTTGTTGTATCAAATTTGGTTGGACAGATATATCGAATTAGGTTGAACTAGTTTAGCCTTGTCAAAACTAGTTTAGCTTGGGCAAAACTAGTTTGGCCTAAGATCGGATTTTACCGGTAACATATACATACATACATACATAGGCACATGTAACTTACCTGCCACAAAAAAATGTTAATAAAAACAATTTTCCAGCAAAATTGTGTAGATAGAGGATTTTGCTCTTATAACAAAATGTTATTGCAGATAGTGGAATTTTCAAAATGAAAATATAATACCATTAAAGCTATATCTTAAGTTTGACATTATTGTTATGGATGAAATACTAATCGGAGCTCACGTTACCATCAAAAACTCATTTTGATCAAAATTGCAGATAGAGGGTATTGAATATAAGCCCTCGATATATACATACATATGACTAGTGCAGGTTGAGAACAAATTTTTATTTTTTATTAGCTTCGGTTTTCATAACAGTTTCTGTAACTTGTTTTTTTTTTATTCAGGAAATATTTTACGTAAAAGTAAAAATGTGTTCTTAACCTGCACTAATAATAAAGGGTGAACACACCAAAACTGCGACACTTTGGGAAGCTTATAACTTGCCCAAAACGAATTCAATATTTTGAAATTCAAATACTATAAGCTGACCATGACCTTAGTTGGACGTAGAAGAAATTTCATTTGAATTTGATTCCTAGTTGAGTTAAAAATGGCAACCGAGTTAGAAACGAGACAAACCATTTTGCACGAGTTTATAAATGATCCGGCCTTAAGTACACGTAAAATTGTTAAAAAATTAAAGATTACACTATTTGACAGTTTGCAGGGTTTTAATCGGTACAAATAAGGCCTGACAGTTACGAGAAAACCAGGGAGCGGGGGTTAGCATGGTAAAACTGATAAAAACAGTGCTCGGAAAGTCCTCAGTGCGTTTTCGCGAGATCCGAAGATTTTGTCGCGTTATGTTGCAAAATCCCTACGGAGATCGCAGTTTTTCGTACAAAAGGTAAAGCGGAAAGCTTCATTGAGATGTTCTACAGCTCAAACAGCGCCAGACCGAGGCGCAAAGTAGAATGTTACAGCGAAATCCTGCATTCGGAAGTTGTATGAATTCTAAATCAAAAATACAACTGCATTGTTATGGACTACGAATCCTACTGCTATAAAAATTCAAAATATGTTGCAGGTCAAGATTTTTATACTGCTGCAAGTCGTCAAGATGCCCCTGAAAGCTGTAAGCTGAAAATGAAGTCCAAATTTCCAAAAAACCACATGGTTTCGCAAGCTATTTGCTCCTGTGGCCGTAAGAGCAGCCCCTTTTTCCCATC